TTTTTCATTTTCCATGGGCAGGGAACTCCTGCTGGGTGCGTGCCAGGGGAGGTGACAGGGTGCCAGGCTGTCCCTGCTGCCGTGCCCRTTGTCCATGGAAGTGGCAGCAGAGGGGATGAGCTCAGGGTGATTCAGSCTGTGATTCACAATGAATCAGCGGAGCAGCAGAAATCCCAAAGCTGCGGCTTCCTGGGGCTCTGGGGCTGCCCTTTCCAGCCCCCAAAGCAGCTCCTGTTTCAGCCCTGCCCTCTGGACAGCCCTGAAGTGGCTGTGCTTCTGAGCAAATAAATTAAATACATTGAACAGATGGAGAAATGAATTATTTCATTTCAAATATCACTGAAATTATTATATTTCTCTGGGTAAAGGAGTGATTTTCCACCTGTCCTAATGGCTGTGTGAATCCCCACGTCCAGGCAGCAGCTGGACCCTGCTCAAATCCTGTCATTAGCCCGGGACACATGGGGACAGCACTGCAGTGACCATACTTCTGAGCAAATAAATTAAATACACTGAACAAATGGAGGAATGAATGATTTCATTTCAAATATCACCGAAATGATAATTTTTCTCTGGGTAAAGGAGTGATTTCCCACCTGCCCTAATCGTTGTGTGAATCCCCACATCCCCACGCTGTGTGAATCCTTTTGTGGTTATAAATATATAATCACTGGAATTATTATATTTCTCTGGATATAACAGAGTGATTTCCCACCTGCTTTAATCTCTGTGTGAATCYCCATGTCCAGGCAGCAGCTGGACCCTGCTCAAATCCTGTCATTAGCYCAGGACACATGGGGACAGCACTGCCCTGGATCAGCTGAGCCCCTCACTGTGTCACAGCACAGCCACAAAGGGGGCCCGGGGGCAAAACCAGGGACAAACGGCAGGGAAATGGCTTTGATCCATCCCTTATCCCCCCCCTGCCTCAAGGAGAGATCAGCATTAATAAAAAATGAGTTTTGCTTTCCTCTCTTTCCTCTCTTTGGAGCCGCAGTTGTCCCTGCAGATGGCTCTGTCCTTATCCTCGACAGCAAAAGGCTTTCCCAGGCTCACTSAGCTCACACTGAAATCACCGGGTGTTTTCCCCATCGCTGAGTGACCTCAATTCTTGAAACATTTCCATTACCCATTTTCTAGGAATCAGTGCAAAAAACGTCATCTTTTTGAGGTAATACACAGCTCGAGTGTTAACATCATTTTTTCCATTCACTTCCAATGTGGAAGTGACCAGTCTGGGTCATTCATGGTCATTTTTAATAAGCTTGTTATTATTCAATGTACATAAAACAAACCCTTCCCCTCCTCAGCCCCGCTGCTGCTCCTCAGAAAGGATTAACTTGGATTATATYTTAAAAATTAACAGCACGTGCCCTGTTAGTGAAGTGCAAATCAGCAGAACGCACACACTGCAAAGGGACCCTGCCAGACGCAGATTTCACCCTCTAAACACTACAAAAAAAATCAGAAAAGTCATTAAATAAACAGCAGCAAAAGGGAAAAACCCAATACTTACACCGACCTTCATTTTGCTGCCTGTTTTCCCTGTCAGTCCATCACCTGAGGAGGAGCAGGAGGAGGATTCCAGCYCTGTGAGAGGATCAGGCAGCACTGGAGGCTCTGGCTGGAACTGGAGAGGAAAAGCTCAGCCCCTGGAACCTCCTGCTCGCCAGGAAACCCAGGAAAGCAGCTCTGGGCATGGGGGGAGTTTATTACATAGAAGAATTCTCTCCAGGGAGCACTGAGCTGCAGCTGGTGATGTGCAGGACACACAGACAGTCCTGCAGGGAGTGCATTCCCTGCTCTGAGCAGAGAGTCCCTCTCAAAAAGGATTGGATTTGGAAGCGTTTCTGCAGCAGCATTTTTTACTCCTGGGTTTGTTGGTTTTTTTTTTTTTTTTTTTTTTTTTAAACTTAAAAGTGGTTTGGGGTTTGATAAACTTTAGACCTTTCGTGTTCAGGTCTCTAGAAAACTGAACAGATGCCTTTGTGGTTATAAACACCCCCCTGCAAAACAACCTCACTCTGCAGAGGCAGAAAACCCCAGGAGGAAACCTAAACATGACCTGCAGCTGAAGGGTTTTGTTTCTTGGACTCTTAAAAAAAAAAATCCTTGAATATTATTAAGCTGTAGGGTTATTTAAAATCATTAATTTTAATGATTGCTGGTTGCTATTTGCTCAGCGCCAGCTGAGTCCAGGCCATGCTTATGCCAATGCACAGGTTTTACCCCYTTGGACTTGGTTTGCAAATTTTGGCTGGTTTTGCCTTTGTGCACACTGCCTGTTCCCTGGTAAAGCCTTTTCCTTCCTCTTTCCRTGGTAGCTTCAAGATTAAATTAGACACTGGCTCCCAAAGCCACAATCACCCAGCCAGAAAAGATCTGAATATCCTGCATAGAAAAAATGCTGAGCTGAAAATGCTTTCTCAACAAAATCTACAYCTCTGGGCTCAGAGCAAAGCGGCTGCTGCTCAAAGGAGAGAGAATTCCTGCCATGGCAGGGACATTTCCACTGTCCCAGGGTGCTCCAAACCCTGTCCAGCCTGGTCTGGGCACTGCCAGGGATCCAGGGGCAGCCACAGCTCTGGGCACCCTGTGCCAGGGTGGAATTCCTGCCCAATATCCCATCTAATCCTGCTCTCTGTCCATTTGGAGCCATTCCCTGTGTCCTGTTCCTCCATCCCTTGTTAATCCTCTCTCTCCATCCTTCCTGCAGCTCCTTCAGGCCCCACCCTGAGCTCACCCCAAAGCTTCTCCTGTCCGTGTGAGCAATCCCAGCTCTCTCAGCAGAGCTGCTCCATCCCTCTGCCCATCCTGGAGCCCCTCTGGGCTCTCTCCTGCAGCTCCAGGTCCCTCCTGGAGGCAGCTGAGCAGGTGGGGTCTCACCTGAGCGGGGCAGAGTCCCCATCATTGCCCCTGCCCGTGTTTGGGGCGAGTTGGGACRATGTGACCCGGGCATTTCAGGAGAGACAAACCCCAAATGCATTTCCAGCATGTCCAGCACATGTCCAGCCCACCCTGCAGTTGATTCCAGGGCAGCAGGAGCCCGTGGAGCTGACGGGGTTTGTGATTGCACCCAAGGGTGCAACGCTTCCTGTGCCACCCCTGGACAAACAAACAACGGCTGCACCCAAACCCAGCCCTGCTCAGGGGGGCTTTCCTTGTGCAGCTGCAAAAATTGGGGCTCAGGGATCATTGCAAAGCGATGCTGCTGAGGGCTGGTGCTTCAAGGAGTAGAGAAAAAAAAATTCTATTTTTCTAATAAGCATAATATATAAATATTACGATAAACAGCACTGCCAGGGTAGTAGGGGCCTTGTAAACGGTTCATAAATTATGTAGCAGAAATAAGTTTGGCTTTTTATTACTCAGCTGAAGTTGACTGGGTGTGCTGTGGCCGTGTCTAAAATGCTCACAGCAGAACAGGGAATCAGTTTGCTACCGTTACATTTATTTATTGATAATACACTTAAGAAAACTGGAAACAGATGTAGAAACAGAAAATGTCTCTTTGTAGAGATGAAAAAATGTCCTGCCTCAATTCCTGATGACTCAATGTGAAAAGAAGCCCCCTAATCTTTACAAGCCTCAATGGAAAGTTTCGAGCAGATAAAAATGATTCATTGAACTCGTTGAACTAAGCTTTCCCCCCACCACTAAATTTTCCATCAGATTTCCAGGAGGTTCTTTATTTACAGTAAACACTGAGATCATAACCCAGGATGAAAATCATAATTCCATTACACTGCAGACAGCAGCACAGCAAGGCTCTGACTGGAATCAAGACTTCAGCATTCTCCAAACCCTACAGCTGCAGCAGGGATCTCATCTGCATAAAATTAATCTGGATGTAATGTGAACGCAGAAATAAATGTAACAAACCTCATATGCTGGTTCCAATCTTTCAAAATAGGAACACAGAGTGTTTCAAAATGTTTTCTGCATTGAATGTAACGTAAAGAAATTATGTCATGCAAGAGGTGAGCGGGGCTGTCACTGAAAGTCTCTGAYGATGGAACTGTCCCAATGTCACTGCAGGGTAATATTAAGGTGGACCTTGAAGTGATATCTTTATAATTTCACAAATGTGGTTATTTCCAGGTATTTGCTGTTTAGGAATCCTGCTTTATTTAGGATAAATRACATTCAGTGTCAGCTCCCAATCGTGGTTTTGTCACTGTGAAAAGTGCAGGGAGACACCAGGTACAAGAGCCTTCTGTCCCCTCCGAGCTGAGGAACCCAAACATTTCACAGGATCACAGAACCCCTGAGGCTGCAAAGAGCTCTGAGACCATCGAGTCCARGCTGKGACTGATCCCCACCTTGAGCACTACAGTGGCACCTCCAGCCTTTCTTGGACACCTCCAGGGATGGGCACTGCAAACTTCCCTGGRCAGTTCCAATCCCTGAGCACCTTTTCCATGRGGAAATTCCTCCTGGTGTCCCCYTKKYCSYYCCCMRSCCMRSCYKRRGSCSKTYCCYYYYCYYCYKKYCCYKKTYCCYKG